CCATCAAAGCTTTCAATCAATATAAATGGAGAAAACAGGATACTCCTTGAAAAAAAATCAGAATTAAACAATACATATCCACTAATGCAGCCCCACAGAAAGTTCTGGGATGAAAACTAGAACCCAAGGAAGTTATCTATAATGAGAAAATACATAGCCAATAGATAAACCCACTTTACCAACAGCCAAAAGACTTATGGGGAGGAAATATACACACAATTCCACTACCAAAGACAAATGCAAAACAAATAAGAATGAACAATCAGTGATCATGAATATCCCTCAATATTAATGGTTTTAACTCATATATAAAAAGATACACTCTAGCAGGTGGATACAAAGACAGAATCCATCCTTATGCTGCATACAAGAAACACACCTCATCTTCAAAGACAGATGTTACCTCAGAGTAAATGGTTGGGAAAAGATTTTCCAATGAAATGGACCCAAGAAACAAGTGAGAGTAGAAAACCTAATATCTAACAAATTAGACTTTAAACTAATATCAATCAAAAGAGATGAAGGAGGTAACTTTCTACTCACCAAAGGGGAAATCCATCAAGATGAAGTCTCAATCCTGGACATCTATGCCCCAAATACAAAGGCATCCACGATCATAAAAGAAACATTAGTAAAACTCAAATCACACATAAAACCACACACACTTATAGTGTGAGACTTCCACACCCCACTCTTATCAATAGACAGGAACACCAGACAGAAATTTAACAAAGAAAAAAAGAAACTTATAGAAGTTATGGCCCAATTGGGTTTAACAGACATCAACTGAACATTCCAGCCAAACACAAAAGAATACCCCTTCTTCTCAGTGTCACATGGAACCTTTCTTAAATCCACCACATACTTGGCAACATAGCAAACCTTAACAGGTATAAAAATTAAAATAACACCATGTAACTTAGACTACCATGCTTTAAAGTTAGAATTCAACTACAACACAAATTGCAGAAAACATACAAACTCATGGAAATTGAACTATGCCAAATTGCACCATCCCTAGGTCCAGGAATGAATAAAAAAGAAATTAAAGACATCCTAGAATTCAATGAGAATGTGGACAGAACATACCCAAACACATGGAGCAGTTTGAAAGCAGTGCCAAAGGAAATTTCATAGCACTAAGTGCCCACATGAAGAAACAGGAGAATAATCACACTAGAGAACTGACAGCACAACTGAAAGCTCAGGAACACAAAGAAGCCAATGCACCCTGGAGGAGTAGACTCCAAGAAATAATCAAATTGAGGGCTGAAAACAATAAAGTATAAACTAGGAAAACAAAAAAATAATCAATGTAACAGAGTTGGTTCTTCCAGAAAATCAACAAGATAGACAAACCTTTATCCAAACTTACCAAACAGCAAAGACTGAACATATAAATTAATAAAATCAGAAATCAAAAGGGGGCATAACAACAGACAATGAGGAAATCTAGAGAATTATCAGGTCAAACATTGAAGACCTATATTCCTCAAAATTGCAAAATATAAAGGAAATGGACAATTTTCTGGATAGGTTTTTTATTTAAAAATAGAATCAAGAACAGATAAGCAATGTAAATAGACCCATAACCCACAATGAAATAGAAGCAGTCATCAAAAAGTCTTACAACTAAAAAAAGGCTATGTCCAGAAGTCTTCAGTGCTGAATTCTGCCAGAAATGCAACAAACAGCTAATACCAATTATCCTCAAATTATTCCACACAATGGAAGCAGAAAGGACATTGCCAAACTCCTTTAATGAGGCTTCAATAAATTTGGTAAAAGCAATATACAGTAAACCAACATCCAACATCAAACTAATTGGAGAGAAACTCAAGGCTATTCCTCTGAAATCAGGGACAAGACATGGCTGTCCACTCTCTTCATACCTCTTCAGTATTGTACTTGAAGTTCTAACTAGAGCAGATAGACAACAAAAAGGACACCAAGGGTATACAATTTTGAAAAGAGATGTCAAACTTTCACTATTTGTAGATGATATTATAGTTTACATAAGTGACTAGAAAAACTCTACCAGAGAACTCCTACAGCTGATAAACACATTCGACGAAGTGGCAGAATTCAAGGTCAATTCAAACAATCAGTAGCCCTACAATATACAGACGATTAATGGGCTGAAAAAGAAATCAAAGAAACATCACCCTTTACAATAGATACATACTGCATAAAATATCTTGGGGCAACTCTAACAAAACAATTGAAAGACTTGTAGAGTAAAAATTTTGAGTCTTTAAAGAAAGAAATTAAGAGGCTACCAAAAAATGAAATGATCTCCCATACTCTTGGATATGTAGGAACAGCATAGTAAAAATGGCAATGTTGCAAAAGCAATATACAGATACAATGGAATTCCTGCCAAATTTCTAGTACAAATCTTCACAGAACTTGAAAGAAAAATTCTCAACTTTATATGGAGAAACAAAATATGCAGGGTAGCCATGCCAATGCTGTACAATAAAGGAATGTCTGGAGGCATCACCATCCCTGACTTCAAGCTCTATTATAGATCTATAGTCCTCAAAACTGATTGGTATAGGCACAAATATAGACAAGTAGACAAATGGAATCGAATTGAAAATCCTGATATTAAGCAACACATCTGCAGACATCTGATTTTTGACAAAGAAGCTAAAATTGTACAATGGAAAAAAGGAAGCATCTTCAACAAATGGTGCTGGAATAACTGGATGCTGGCATTCAGAAGACTGCAGACATATCCATTTCTATCACCATGTACAAAACATAAGTTCAAATGGATCAAAGAACTCAACATTAATCCAGCCACACAGAACCTCTTAGAAGAGAAAATAGATGGCACCCTCAATGAACTGGTAAAGGAGAAAGCTTCCTGAACATAACACCAGTAGCACAGACACTGAGATCCACAATTAATAAATGGGACCTCCTGAAACTGAGAAGCTTTTGTAAGGCAAAGGGCACAGTTAGCAAATCAAAAGAGCAGCCCGCAGAATGGGGAAAGACATTCATTTATCCCACATTTGATACAAGGCTCCTTTCCAAAATATACAATACCTTAAGAAGTTAGTCACCAAAACTCCAAATAACCCAATTATAATGTGGGTAACAGAACTAAACAGACAATTCTCAATGGAACAATCTAAAATGGCTTAAAGCCACATAAGAAAGTGCTCAACAGCCTTAGTCATTAGGGAAATGCAAATGAAAACATCTCTGAGATGCCATCTTACTCTTGTCAAAATGGCTAAACTAAAAAATACCAATGATACCTTATGCTGGAGAGGATGTGGAGAAAGGGGAACACTCCTCTACTGCTGGTGGGAGTGCCAACTCATACAGCCTCTTTGGAAATCAGTATTGTGTTTCCTCAGGAAAATGAGAATCAGTCTACCACAAGATCCAGCATTTCCACTCTTAGGCATATACCCAAATATGCACATTCATACAACAAGGACATCTGTTCAACCATGTTCATAGAAGCATTATTTGTAATAGCTAGAAACTGGAAGTGACCTAGATGTTCTTCAACTGAAGAATGGATCAAGAAAATATTGTACATTTACACTATGGAGTATTTATCAGTGTATAAAAAAACCAATGGAATCTTGAAATTCAAAGGGCTAGAGCCTTCATGTAGTAGCTGATGAAAGCAGAAGCAGACATCTACAGCTAAACACTCAATTGAACTCCAGAATCCAGGTTTATATAGAGAGGAATAATGAACAAAGGGATCAAGACCAGGCTGGAGACACCGACAGAAACATCTGACCTGAACAAGGGACAGCAGACTGATAGCTGGAAAACCAGCTGAATGAGGATATCATTTTGGAAGTCTGGACAATCTATGGGTGTAGGGAGTCACCCTAGCCCCGCCCAATAGTCCTGGGGCAGGTACCAGGTGGACCCGGGGACTCGCCCATAAGGGCGTGGTGAAGGAAAGCCGGGATGACGTAAGGGAGCTTCTTAAGGGGCTGCACGTGGGGACGCGGGCCCCCTTTTGTTCTGGCCGCACTGGCTGGGTTCTTAACCTAGCTCTGGCCTGTGTTTCACCCTGCTGTCCTCTGAAATAAAGAGACCTTAATCCAATATATGGGGTCTCTGGTAGCGGATCAGAATTTATCCCTAGTACATGAATGGACTTTGGGAGCCCACTCCACATAGAGGGATACTCTATCAGCCTGGACACATGGGGAAATGTCTAGACCCAGCTACTAATGATATGACAGACTTTCAAGATCCACCATGGAAGGCCTCACCCTCCCTGGGGAGCAATTAAGGTTTGGGATAGAGGGTGGGATCAGGGGTGGAGGATAGGGAACTGAGATAGTCATATAAATGAAATTTTTTCAATAAATATATACATAAAAGGGAATTCTCTATTTATTTATGTACCCAACATTTTGGTTGGATTAGTTGGTGTTTGGTGGGTAGCTTTCTGTTTTGTTTTGTTTTTTTTTTTGTATATTTTGGAGATCAGACTTCTGTCAAACTGGGGTTGGTGAAGATCTTTTCCCATTCTGTGGGTTGACATTTTGTCTTCTTGATTGTGTCCTTTGCCTTACAGAAGCTTCTCAGTTTCAGGAAGTCCAATTTATTAATTTTCAATCTCAGTGTCTGTGCTTCTGGTGTTGTTTTCAGGAAGCAGTCTCCTCTACCAATTCGATCAATTCTGCTACAAGAAAGCTATCTTTTGACTAATAGACATTCCTATTATCTTGATGAGGTAACATTGAGAGCCTCACCTGTATGCACACTATTTTTAATTTTTCATTGTTGCAAAACAGTGCATTCTAGGCAAACCCTGGCTTTTTTTACCTCTTTCTCGAGAAGTTCATGAGGAAGTGCTAGACCTACAATCTATCTCCTGAGTATTAAGCAATAAACATCCATGAATGTGATAGCTAAGTATTACAGATGTTCCTACTCACTATATGCTAAACAGCAAATACAGCAAAACAGTTCCTGTCCTGCTTCCTCATTTATCTCATTCACTGTGGTCAGCCATCGCTATCAGCTGAAACACAGTAATAGTCAGCTTCATCCTCAGACTGGATGTTGGAGATGCTTAAGTATCGATCAGCCCCAGAGCTGGAGCCAGAGAAGCGATCAGGGATTCCATCCCCCTTGCTGTGGCTTCCATCGATCCCATCCCCCTTGTTGTGGCTTCCATCACTACTCAGATACATCACATACTTAGGAGCCTTGTCTGGTTGTTGCTGGAGCCAACCAATGCTGTAGGTGCTGTGCTGACTACTCAAGGTGCAGGAGATTTTGATTGAGGCTCCCAGGGAGGCAGAGGCAGAGGGTGACTGAGTCAGCACAAGTTGGGAGAAAGATCCTGAAAATGGAGAAACACATTATATACTCAGGTAACAGAAGAGAGGAGAATGTGTCTGGCTGTCAGATAGTTTCCCTGAATTGGGATCAGGGTACAGATGACTCCTGACCTGTGCAATGAAGGAGGAAGAAGAGGAGAGGTATCCAGGCCATAGTGTAGACACCGCTGAGCTGTGCTGAGACAGACATGATGTAGGTCTCTCTTATTCTTCAACAATTCTCAGAGAACTGAAGGAACCCTTCATGCAAATTTTTCTTGGCTAACCAAATCCATTCTTTGGTGAGTATGCCCTCAAATATGTGGGTATTACTTCCTGCTTTAGGCTGCCCAAGGGACCACAGTGCCACCAGCTGCTGGGCCTGTTGAATCCTTAACAGTCATAAACAGATAGGTAGTGTGTTGTCAGCTCAGAATCCAGATTCTTCAGAGGAACCTATAAACCCCACTGAGCCAGATGTTTTCATGTCAGAGTTCTACTAGAAATTCTAAGAAGAACTAATGCCAGTACTCCTCAAATTGTTCCACACAATAGAAGCAGAAGGTACATTGCTAAACTCTTATTAGGAGACTACAATACCTTGGTATGAAAGGATTGATCTGGTCCAGGTCTATTTTGTCTATGCCCACAGTCTCATCCCATGTTGTGAGCATCACACACTTTCTGATCAAGGTCAGAAATACTTGCCTGCAGCCGGGCGTTGGTGGCTCATGCCTTTAATCCCAGCACTGGGGAGGCAGAGGCAGGGGGATCTCTCTGAGTTTGAGACCAGCCTGGTCTACAAGAGCTAGTTCCAGGATAGGCTCCAAAGCCACAGAGAAGCCCTGTCTTGAAAAACCAAAAAAAAAAAAAAAAAAAAAAGAAATACTTGCCTGCTCTGGTCATAGTATGTAGACTGAATTTGTGAAGATCTCTTTATCCAGGTTCTTCTCCCATACAGACTGAGGACACAGAGAAATAACCTCAATGAACTCCTTAGATGGCACAGGAAGCTACCCTTCCATATTTCCTAGGCAGACTTACACTTAGAGACATATTGGTGAATATTGGTGTCTAGAAAGAAAAATATTATGCTTCACAGCTCTCCTAATATATTAGAAATATAAAATTTTAGAAAATTACAAGGCAAAACAAAAATTACAGAAAGAACACAAACTAGAATGGAATAGAAAGCTTGTTATCAAATTAGGATCAGTGAAGTGTGACTGTATGCTTAAAGGAAATGCATGAAAACCTGCCTATAACTTATCTGGCAGAGAAATCATATGTAACTGGCACAGAGTAGGGGATGGATTTTCTGAAATGGGGCAGCCATAAATTTATACCTAAATTAATGAATCATGAATGAAGAAATCATGGGTGAGATTGTGCAAATACAAGAGAGACAACAGGTGGGACTTGCTGTATTATGCTTTAGCTTATCCATGTTTAAGGAGGTCATACTACATATATTTTATTTATGCAACCCCTCTCCTCCAGACTTAGAGAATTTGCAAAAGAAGATTTGGAAATAGACAAATATTGCGGTTCCATCTGAAGATTAGAAAAGCAAAACATCCAAGCCAGCATCTCTTACCTTTAGGAAGCTGAATAGGCAATCCTGTCTCCATGAATCATCAGAGTACAATGAAGTCTGCACTTCTCTCCTCCAAGGTTCAGTCTGCAATCCTGAGTTCCTGTCTTCTCCTGCCTTATATTCCTTTCTCTGTCCAGCTATAATACTCCTGTCTCCACCTGCCTAGTGAATGTGATCCCAAGTCCTGGGATTAAAGGCCTGAGATCTGTTACTCTTTAGACAGATACAGTCTCCTGTAGTCCATGGTGGCCTTGAACTCACAGAGATTCTTCTGCCTTTGTCTCCTGAGTCCTGGGATTAAGGTGTGTGCTACACCACTTGGCATCTATGGGTAACTAGAATGGTTGTTGGAATTAAAGATGTGTGTCACCACTACATGGCTCGTTTTTTTTTTCCCTGTGGCTAGCTTTGCATTTTAATCTCTAGTGGCTTTATTAAATTCTAACCAATATATCATCACAGGTAGATAAAAGTGTATCTTTCAGAAAACAGACTGATTCATATATGAATTCACAGAGACTATAGTAGAATGCACAAGACCAGCACAGGTTCTAACCAAGTAAAACTCCCAGCTCTCAGTAAGTGAAGTGAACTAAAATTTAAACATTAGCTGTAACGTTATTCTAATTGGTAATTGCTGGAAAAGGGAACATCAGATTTTGCTTCTGGAGTGCCACTAGTAATATCAACCATGCCCAGGAGTAGCTGGCCAACACAAAACAAATTCCATCCTGTGTGTCTTTGTTTGCCAGAACTTTTTATTTTGTTTTGGTATATTTTTACTGAAAACTTCACATTTTTTTGGTTTTTCGAGACAGGGTTTCTCTGTGTAGCTTTGGAGCCTATCCTGGCTCTCTCTCTGGAGACCAGGCTGGCCTGGAACTCACAGAGATCCGCTTGCCTCTGCCTCCGGAGTGCTGCGATTAAAGATATGCACCACCAACACCTGGCGAATACTTCACTTTTTAAAATAAAATTTGCCTGTGTAAGCCTATATAGAGCTCTAGGACCCCTAGAACTGTAGAGTGAGAGATTGTCTTGAAAAAAAACCAAACAATATTTTTTTGTTTATTTTTGAGACACGGTTTCTCTATGTTGCCTTGGCTTTCCTTGAAGACTCTGTAGACCAGGATGCCTTAGAATTGATAGAGATCTACTTGCTCTGCCCCCACCCCCCCCCAATGCTTGGTTTAAAAGCATGTGCCACCATAGTTAGGTCAATTTTTTATAAGTAATAAACACTTGAGATAAAATGTTCACTGAATCGATGAAAGACAGATTGGGGAAAGAAATGGAGGTAGAGAAAAGAAAGAAAGAAAAGGTAGGTTTCATTTGTCTTTGGTAGAATCCATTCCTGGAAAAATATATTTATGTTTCAGCATATAGGGGCAAATGCTAGTTGAACAAAATGAGCTGTACAAACACAATATCTGAACAAGAGAAGAAATACATATTATATATATGATTTATTAAAAGACGTAGGTCCCCACTTCTGACCCACAGATGCAGGATCCATGTGCACCTTGTGTTTCAACAAGTATTGATCTAACACAGGCTACAAACTGCAGTGGTTTTAGTTGCAAACTTCCAGATCCCTCTTTTTATTCTATTTCCTACTGCCTTGTACAAGAGAACTTTCTAACACCCATTCTATGCATTGCACTCCAGGATTAACTTTCTTTAGGCTTCCTATTAAAAATTATAGGCATGTCCCTTGTTTTCACCAAATTCACAAAATATTCAAGACTAAGTTTTGAATGACAAGGCAATGCTTGAATGATCACACATAAACAGCTAGAGATCTTTAAAGTAAATGTTTCTCCTACAAGCTGCACTTCTGTGTCTTTTGCTTACAGTACTACTATATTGAAACAGGAAAGATACATGTATATTTTAAGATTGACAGTTGCTTAAACATTAGAGTTTAGTTTCAGTCATAAAACTAGAAATATGAGCCAATATTTCAATATTCTTGGGGATAAAATAGGAATCAAGATGAAAGAAATGTGTGCAAATTCAGAAACAATTTACAAATGATTGTTTAGTTTATTAGATCCCTGGATTGACAGTAAGGACATACACTAACTGTGGGCTAGCACAAGCCTAACATCTTTTCTCAATGTGATTCATGGTGGACAGACTGACAAAATTAACATACTGATCTAAGCACCACATGGAACCTCCTCCTTCCCTCCTCTGTGCCTCTTGATTGGGAACAGTTTTTGTTGATCATTGGTCCACAGCTGCAAAGTTAAATAGGCACATCAGTCTTCACATGGAAATGCTCACTGCCACCCTGTGTTCTCAAATCCATCTTATGAATGCACGGGGGACTCACTCTGCTTCAGCATGAGCTCACCTGACTAAAGATATCTGGAATGGTACTGACAATCTGATAAGTAAGGCTGCATACAATAGCAATCAGGTTTATCACATCAACAGATCTTCCTTATGGGAAAATAAGTTAACCTAATGTCAGAGGTGAGATTATTTCGTGTTTGTGTGTGTGCATGTGTGTGTATTTATATGTTCATATATTTTTATATACTATTTCATAGCATTTAAAACTATACATTGTATTTGCATCACCTTCAAATGAAAGATAATATACCAATGGTTAGAAAATATGATTAAACTGTTACTTCAGATTGATGTAAATTGTAAAAAGAACATCATGGAGAATGCTTCTTTCCAAAGCCCTATGGACTCTAGTCTTATAAACAAATATGTCTAAGGAAGGAATAAAATATATGTAATCTTGGTTTATTTTATTCTTTATTAAAGTAGTTGACAAATGTCTCCCTTAAATAAATCTAAGTAGGACACACAAGAAGGCAGATGCTGACATTTACCTTTTTTATCTGGAGAGTTAACATTAGGATAGCACAGTGCCTGGCCAAGGGATCTCACTATCACAGGACAGGGTTTATACCCAGGCTCATGTAAATGCATGTTTATGTCTTACTTCTCCATGTGTGTCTTACTGTGCTGAGCACCACTGTAGGGTACCATACAGTAGCCTTCAACATTGCCCTCAGCCTTTTAAACCTGGAGCCCCATGGCAACATTATGTTTCCATTAAAATGTGACAGGAAACTGTGAGTCCCTGTAAATTGTTGGGTGGATCAGAGCATAGAGGATGGGCAAGGCTACTTCTGGAACCAGTATAGAAAGAGAGGATCAGTAACTACTCTAGAGTGTCATTCCCCAGCATCACCACATCACAGGAAGAGTCCCTGAAAAGATACAGCTAATAGGACAGAGTCAAGAAATGATTGTGTTAATTCCGAAGGCAGTCCTGTTTAATGTCCATGGTACCTGACAGAGATGGAGAAAAGCTGGGGAATGTGACGGGCATTCAAGTCATGCTGTAAATTTCCAGAGATTCCCCACTGGACTGTGTGGTTCCCCCGGTATTGGGAAATGAAGAATCTGTGCATTGTGAGTCTTTTCCTACCACTATCACCACCTCCTTACATCTCTTCAGCACAATGACAATTCTACTGCCAGAGAGACTGGGGCAGACTTGAAAAACACCTGCTGAGCTGTAACCTGTAATTCTGGACAGAGAATTGGTT